AGGAAAGAGAGAATGTGAGAAAGATGGAAGAAAAAAGAAAAAGGAAGGAAAGAAAGGAGGATGTCAATTAGGAAGGAAAGAGGAAGAAAGGGAAAGAGGGATGAAGAGAGAGAAAGGAAGACATCTAGGCAGACAATCTGGCAGGTAAGTTAACCTATTCATTTAATCAACCAATCAACAAGCATTTATTAAGTGCCAAATATGTTCTAGGCACTGTGTGCTGAGCATAGAAAGACAAAAATAACAGTCTCTGGCCTCAAGGAGCTTATATTCTACTGGGAGAGAAACTGCATACATCTACAAATATGGGCTATCTCAAAAGTCTTAAGCTATAAAAGATTAAGACTCTACTAAGACTTTCAGACCACCCTACACATTCAAGATATGTACAAAATAAATATGAATTAATTTTGGCAAAAAGCCACCAGCAACCAGGGAGATTTTGAAAGCCCTCATGCAGAAGGTAACACGAGCTGAGCTTGGAAGGAAACTGAGGATTCTACTTGGTGGAAATGAGTGGGAATTGGGTACAGCCTCTGTGAATGGGGCACAGCCAGTGCAAAGGCTCAGAGATGGGCAATGGAGTGCAATGTGTGAAGAACAGCATGAAGGCAAATTTGTCTAGACAACTTAATACATAAAGGGAAGTAATAATAAGGCTGGGAAGGTAGGATGAGGCCAACTTTTGAAGGGTGTTAAATGCCCAACAGAGGAGTTTGTATTTGATCCTAAAGAAAATAGGGAATCACTGGAGTTGATTGACCAAGAGAATTATATGGGTCAGACCTATCATTTAGGAGGATTGTTTTGGCAACAGTGTGAAAAATGAATCAATGAGGGGAAAAATAAAGTAGATAGAGCAATTAGGAGATTGTTGCAATAACACACCCAAGGTAGAGGAGATGAAGGCTTGAATTAAGATAGTGACCATAGGAGTAGAGAAGGGGAGAAATGTGAGTGATATTTCAGAGATAAATTTAATGAGTTGACAATTGATCTGATGTGTTGGGGTGAGGGCGGGTGAGGATTAGAAGATGACTCCTGGTTTGCAAACCTTGGCTACTAGTAAGAAAGTCTAGGCAAAGGGTGGGTTTGGAAGAAAAAGATAATGAGTTCAGTTTGAATGTATTAGGTTAGAGATACCTACAGGACATGCAGTAGAAAATATCTAATAGGCAGTTGGTAATGAAGATTTGGAGCTCAGGAGAAAAACTGGGCTAGATATATAGATTTTATATAGATCTTAGCATTATCTGCAAAGAGATGATAATTAAACCCACAGTTGCTGATGAGGTCACCAAGAAAGAGACTAAGAGAGAATGTGGAAAGAGAAGAAAAGAAAGGCTGAACAGAGACAGAAGATACACCTAGAGTTGAGTAGATGATGACCCAGCAATGACAACACAGATAGGTAGGAAGAGACCTAAGAGGGAGCAGTATCATGAAAAATCAGAGAGGAGAGAGTATCCAGGAAAAGAGATGAGTCAACAGGGTCAAATGCTGCTAAGACATCAAGAAAGATGAGTACAAAAAAAGGCAGCAGAATGGGCAATTAAGAGAATATTGATAACTTTAGAGAGATCAGTTTCAGTTAAGTGAGAAAGTCAGAAACTAAGCTGCAAAGGATTAAGAAGTAGCTAAAGAAATGGAAACAAGGAAAGTAGAAAGCTTTATCTAGGAGACTGGCTGGAAAAAGGAGAGATTTAAGATGATAAGGTGAGGAGATCTCAGAGTCAAATGAGGGTTGACCCTAACATGCCAAGTTAATTTAAGACAACAACTGGGTGTCAAGCACTGAGCTTAGTGCTAGAGATACAAAGAAAGGTAAAACACGGTCCCTGCTCTCAAGGGGCTCAAAGGCTAATGGGAGAAACAACATGTAAACAACTATGTACAAAAAAGATATTGTTGTTGTTGTTGTTCAGCCATTTTTCAGTTGTGTCCAACTCTTCATGACCCCATTTGGGGTTTTCTTGGCAAAGATACTGGAGTGGTTTGCCATTTCCTTCTACAGCTTATTTTTTACAGATGAGGAAACTGAGTCAAGCAGGGGTAAGTAACTTACCCAGGGTCACATAGCTAGTAACTGTCTGAGGCCAGATTTGAACTCGGGAAGATGAGTCTTCCTGCCTCCAGGCCTGCTGCTCTATCCACTAAGCCACCTGGCTGCCCACAAATGAGATTTACAGAGGATAAATTGAGGGTAATCTTAGAGAGAAGGAACTAATATTAGGGGTAATCAAAAAAATTTTAAAAATAAAAATATTAGGGGTAATCATGAAGGCTACTTGTAGAAAATGAGATTTTGACTGGGCCCTGAAGGAAGTCAGGGTAGCCAGAGATGAGGAGGAAGAGCATTCCATGGGAGATGGCCAGCAAAAATGCAGTTGGGAGTTGGAGCATATTGCTAAAGAAACAGGAAGGAGGCTGGTATAACCGAATCACATAGTGTATGGAAAGGAGGATGGTGTAAGAAGACAGGAAAGGTATGAAGGAGCAGGTTATGAAGGCTTTAAAGTCAAATATAAGACATTATATTTGATACTGGAGGTGACAGGAGCCACCAAAGTGTAGTGAATGGGGACTGGGGTTGGCCTCGGGGTGATAGATAAGTAAATCTTCCTGACTTCCTATGCTTTAGGAAGACCAATTTGGCAGTCAAGTGAAGAGTGTCCATAATGGGAAGAGACCTGAGGCAGGAAGGACCAACCATCAGGCTATGGAAATAGTCCAGGCTAGAGGTGATGAGGCTTTATATCAAGGGGGTAGGAGAGTCAGAAGAAAAAAAGGAACATACAGAAGATGTTGTGAAGGTAAAATCGATAGGACTTGGTAACCATGATTGACTCCTTTCATTTCTTCTCAAGAACCTCTACTGAATTTGTTTTCTGAGTTTCCCTCTAATCAAGCTGTTAGGAGAAGGACAAAATCATGCCTTGTTCCCAGGAATTATTGCTAGCTGGGTTATTCAATAGATTCATGCAGTCTGTATGGTCTTTATGGATATAGTGGGAATAAATTCTAGCGACCTAAGACTAAGAATATAAAGTCTGCTCAACTAAAACTTCCAGAATTTAGAGCCATAAAGTCAATGAACTTTAGAACCAAGAGAGACCTTAGAGTTCTTCATTTTAGAGAAAAGGAAATTGAGTCCCATGGATTGAGGCACTGGGTTTTGCCCAAGATCCCAGAGTGAGTCAGGGCAGAACCATCATAGAACTTAGTTCTCTTGACTCCAAAGCCAAAAGTCCCATGCAGTTCCATTGATTGAATGTGAATGCATCTGGATGTCTGTCCCAAGTGTCAGTTGGGTTTTGCCCAACAGCTGCCTGAGAGGGCTTGGGTCAAGAAGTTTCCCTTTGACCACAAGGAAAAATACAAGAAAAGAAGATGTAGCAGAAAGATTGCTGGATTTTAAGTAAGAGGGCCTGGATTTGAATCCTGGCTCTACCATTTACTTACCTGTGTGACCTCAGGAATGTCATTTAACCTTTTCCCTCCCCCCCTCAGGCCTCAGTTTCCTCATCTGTTAAATGAAGGAGTTGGAGTAAATGACTTTAAAGTTCCCTTTTAGCTCTGATCTATGAACCAATGGAGCCAGAACTATCAAATGAGGTCATGTATGTGGAGTTTTTGTATGCACCTTGTAAACGTAAACAATTATGAGCACTTAAATAGAATAGTTCATGGCTGGGCACACATCCTTTTTTAATAGACCTCTTGATAAATTCTAAAAAATTGAGTATCTGATGCCTAGAGCTTTCTAGTAGTCCATTTTGTGGTTTACCTCTGAATGTAGGCCTTGAAACAAACCCCAAAACATGTCAAGAATACAGCTTAAGAACTGGACGGCTAGGAATTCCACAGGTGTCCACTATCAGCATGTCCAATACCAGAGTTCCAGTGAGTCTGGAAGAGACCAAGAATTGAGGAAGGAAGGAATGATTCAATATAAGACATAACTTCAACATGATTAGGAGCTACTGTGTTCGGAGAGAGCACTGAGTCTAGAGTCAAAAGACTTGGTTTCAAATCCCAACTCTGATGCCCATTACCCGTGTGACCATGGGAAAATCACTAAGCTTTCCTCTCATCAAAATGAGGGCAATCTTATGATCATTTGGGGACATTTTCAAACAGAACAGAAGTAAATGTGCCCATTTTATCCCTTGCAAGGGAGGGCTGGGCAGAGGACCCAAGAAAATGATTGGACTCTACCAGTTAAATATTGTTGTTTAGTCATTTCAGTCATGTCTGACTCTTCATGACTCCATTTGGGGTTTTCTTGGCAAACATACTGGAGTGATTGGCCATTTCCTCCTCCAGTTCATTTTACACATGAGGAAACCGAGGCAAATAGGGTTAAGGGACTTGCCCAGGGTCATCCAGCTAGTAAGTTTGAGGTCAGATTTGAACTCAGGAATATAAGTCTTCCTGCACTCTATGCACTATGGTGTCACCTAACTGCTCAACCAGTAAAATAGGCCACCTATAATTGTTGATATCACATTTTCTTCATAATAAATATGGTGAAAGTGAGCCAAAACACAAAAATAGACATGTTAATTTCACAGAAGCCTGATCTCACTTCCCAAAGGCTAATTTAATACCGACTGATCACACATAGAAAAATGCCTTTTAATGTTAACGAGGAATTCCTGGATATTAAGAAAGATCCTTTTATGATTTCCCAGCTAGGATGTGTCCAGGTAGTTTGGCATGGAGGATAGAGCGAGTGCTGGACTTGCTGTCAGAAAGACCTGAGTTCATATCCCACCTCTGACACTAGCTGGGTGATCTCAGACAAATCCCTTTGCCTCTCTGATCTTCAAACAACTCTCTAAGGCTTTAGGTTATAGATAGGCTGATGTGGGCTGGTAGAGAGAACTCTCATGATAATGTAATCTCTTTGGAGATCACTTTAGAGATGGAAGAGATCAATTAGTCCAACACTTTCATTTTACAGATAAGGAAAATGAAGTTCAGCAAGGAGAAGTGACTTATTTCCAAATCTAATATTCTTTCCATTTCAATTTAAAATGACAACAGTTCCATAGTCATGAAAAAAATCAACACCAGGAGATCCTGCAAGCATGAAAGGGTTTCTAGACATGATGTTGAAAGATAATCATCAGGAAGTACCCAATTAATTATGCTTGGAGAGTTTTCTTAGAATCCTCAGTTCTTTAAAATTAATTTAGTTTTTTATTCATCAGAGCAAAGGGCTTGTCATATTAGTCAATTTTCCAAAGCAGTAGTAAACATCAAATTCAGGGTAAGAATCTTCTTCAAAGATTCACACCCCATAACCTCAGTTATTATAACTTGTCCCCATTCCTGAATCAGATGAAATCAGTGAAGGCTGACCTTTTAAAAAGGAGACCTTCATCTCCATGGTCCTCCCGTGCCAAAGGAGGCTTTGTTTAATAGACCATTCCCTTTTTCTCCATAGAAATTACAATGGACAGTAACAGTGAAGGCGGTCGGTCTCGGTCAGGTAGTGAGGGAAATATTCCCTCTGTAAAAGAAGAAGCTTATTGTCGCGGCATGGGTGGACACAGAATACAGCCTCTGCATCGTGCCATGACCCCTGACCTTAGACACGGTATGCCAGAACTTCTTCCTCCTTTATCACAAAGACGCATCTTCCAACTGCGTGTTAATCAAACTCCGTGTCTGTGACAACCTTGTATGTCAGGGCCCGAAAGGAGGCCAAGGGGGTATCATTGCAGGTAAGTTTCTGGCCCTCAGTCCAGCCTAATCCCCAAGAGAAAATGGAAAAAAAAAGTCTCAAACTTCTCACTCCAGAAAATACTTTCATAATGGTTTTTTTTTTTAAAGCTAGGAACACGTCATTTCATGAACCTCTGTGAAATCATCTAGTCTCCTGCCATAGCTGTTTGACGCTCATAAACACACAGCAGAGTACCTCCTGAGCATAGTACAAGGCCTGGCATGTAGTAGGTGCTAAATAAATGTTTATCAATGGACCTAATGTGGATTTCTTTAGCAAAACATTAAATACAGATATACAGAAGCATCTTTTGCCCAGCCCTGAACTTTCCCATCCAGGAGAATCATACCTTACATACCCACTCATTAATGCAACAAAATTAATCAATCAGCAGTTATTTATTAACTGGCTCTTTATGTGCCAGGCACTATGCTGGGTGCTGGGGATACAGAGTTAAAAGTTAAAAACAAACGAAAAACAAAGCATACTTCTAGCCTTCAGAAACTTACCAATTTGCTGGGGGATACAATGCCTACAAGACATAGCAGTGTGACATCCAGAGAAAACAAACATTTTAAGTTACTAGATTTAAGTCTTTATACCAGAAGATTCCCAGCCTCAATTAAATAACAGGCCAGGATGAAAAAATAATGTTTAAAAGTCCTATTTCGTACCTGGGGGCAATTATGAAACAAATCATTAAAATTTTGTTTTGCCTGAAAAAAAATCATAAATTATAAAAAATTGCATATTATATTATATATAATTATATATTATATATGTAATTATACATCACATAGAAATTATATATACATTATATATAAATTATAAAATATATAATTATACATTAGAAAAAGTTTATTTACCTGAAAAAAATTATAAGAACCCAAATGGAAGAGGTGTTCAAATCCCCACTGCATTCAGAGTACACAAATTCATTGAGAAAATGACTTTTTTTTTCACTGAATGAATTTGGCGATTGTCCTTCTAGTATGATTCATTAATATTTGGCAACTATATGGCCCCTGAAGACAACCATAGAGGCAGAAAGGAATACACAGTAATCTAAAGAAGAAGATCTGGTTGGAGTAGGCGAGAAGAAGGGACCAGGAAAGGTTTCATGGAGAAAGTGGCCCTTGAAGGATGCCTAGAAGGGAGATGAACATTCAGCCCTTGAAAGAAGATTGTTGCTTTTAGGAAAAAAAAAATACAAGCCCTGTGGGTGCTATCCTCATTTCCTCACTTCTCTTACATGCCTTTGTCTTCTCCTCTCCCTTCTTCTGTGTGTATATGTGCATGTGTGTGTTGGTGCTAAACTTGACTGTCCTTCCAACCTCCTCACTCCTGAATTTTCCCATTTGCCTTCCTCCCACTGCTGTGAACCTTAGGACAAGAAGAGTATTTACCATACATCAGTCATCTCCCATCAACCCACTACTGTGCATGTGTAGCTATACAGTTATACATATAATGTCATTCCATATATATGTATCTATATGCATACATATGCATATGTTATTTCAGTTTTCCAACCAAAGAATAAACAGGCAACTAGTAAAAAAAAATCCAACTTGTATTTGCTCGAAAAGTTGAAACACTGAGGATGATGGCAAATAGTCACGACAGACTGCCATTTATTTCCAGGACAAATAATATTACCTACTGGCTCAGTAATAATGAATTAACCCTTATTTATTTACGTGTGGCATGGTGAATAGGGAGCTAGCCTCAGAGCCAGGGAGACTTGGGTTCAAGTCTTGCCTCTTATACACGCTGGCTGTGTGACTCTGAGCAAGACATTTCCTTATGTGACTCAGTGCTCTAGAATCTAGAAAACTCTCTAAAGACAGCAATTTACAGAGAAGGTACTTACTTGTATGAATTGGGGGGAAGGGGTTTCCTACACCATTGAAATCATTGGTCCAGTCCCCATTCCTATCTAATTACTTATATATCTTAGCTATTTAAAACATTAATATTCATTATCCCAAGCTCCAAAGGTTCTATGATCTCATCAATGTGGGCACTGTCCCTCAGACATGTAAATTACAATCCATCCAATGCCTACCTGTCCTGTGTGACTCTCACTCATATACTCCCATAAGTACACTAAAACAAATATGGCACTAGGGAAAATGTTGGTTACCCAAATGAAACATTAACTATGCTGTTTTGACTTTCATATTACAAAAAAGGCAAGGCCATCAGTTTGGGAAATGGATTTCTCCTGTCCAGAGTTTCTGATCTAAAAGGATCCACCCAAAGGAAAACATACTGCCCCTTCCTCCTATGGCATGTCAGCTAACATCAAAGAGAGGAATGATAACCATTTCATATTTTTTCTACCTAGTCCAATGAATGTCTTCTGACTCAAGGTGGTTTATTTTAATATGCTTTCATTCTTAATTGAATTAATTTTTGTATGCAAGAAAAGGCAAACAAAAGAAAGTGTCCAACAAGGTTTCTAGCTGGAATTTGATTTGAAATCGAATTTCCTACCAAAGCAGAGATGAATTTCTCAATTCAGCCAAGGGATGGAATTGACAAGAACCACCAAGTTCTATGTTTCTTTACATTATGCTTCTAGATGGTTACTGCAGCCGGGATCGACTGTCTCCAGACCTGTATGAGGAATCTGAAACAGACCCCGGCGCTGAGGACCTTTCAGTCCGAATATTTGTCGCTCTCTTTGATTACGATCCACATACGATGTCTCCCAATCCTGATGGAGCAGAAGAAGAGTTACCATTTAAGGAAGGACAGATCATTAAGGTGCAAGGGGATGGAATACCACCACCACCACTACCCTCTTCTTTATCCCTTCATGCCTGCTGAAGTTTTCCTTTTTCATCCATGGGAAAAGTGGTCAACCTAGTGCTTTCCAAAAGAAACTTGATAGCTGTAACATTAACTGAACCCAATGATTAATCAGCTCCCAATTTTAAATACATTTGGCAGCTAGATTAAATGAGTGATTCACAATGCCAATATCAAGGCAATATAAGAGTTTGCATAATTTAAAGACTGCCATTATTTGTGTTTTTCAAAATTCATTTTGAGAATTTTCATGGCCAAAGAATTAATCACTCACTGATAACCTACTGGCTGATTAACCTCTTCATACTTCTCCTCGGGGAGCAGATGCAGTTTATTGCCGGGATATACTCATAGTTTATCCAGCTTGGCAGGCCCTGCTAGCCTCAGGGTTCTTGGCCCTTTCTTTGTATTATAGACCACTTTGGTAACCTCACAAAGCCTCTGGATCCTTTCATTGAATGATGTTTTTAAATGTATAGAACAAAATATGTAGCATTACAAAGAAGACCAGAAATACAATGATCAAAATATATTTTTTAAAGTTCATAATTAAGAACTCCTCTCTTAAAGAGCTTGCAATCCGAGCCATTTAGTATTTATTAAGTGCTTGCTATGCGCAAGGCAAGAGGCAGCTATAGGAACGTGAATAGAGAGCAAACCTCAGGAAGACCTGGGTTCAAATCTAGCCTCTGACAAATACTGGCTGTGTTACCCTGGGCAAATCATTAACCTCTCAGTAATATAGGCAACCCTCTAGGGCCATAAATTGCAGAGAAGATGATGACAGCTTGTATTGGCAGAGGAAATTTTGTCATATGGGATTTCCCAATACCAAAAAAAAATAAGAGGTCCAGTATTCACTCCTATGAATGAAACGAATGAAGGCTTTATTAGGTGTTTACTGTGAAAAGCACAGTTCTAAATACTGAGAATAAAAATAGAAAAGTAAGACCATCCTTGTTTTTAAGGAGGGGGAGACAGTCTACTAGGGGAGATAATACTTATAGAACTATGAGGTCTATCCCACTATTTATATATTTTAGCAACTTAATATATTAGTGATCTCATCAATGTCTATTCCCTAAACCTAGGAATAACATACCATGTGAGGTTCTAGGAATACAAAGACAAAAAAAAAAAACAAACAAACAAAAAACAAAAACAACCGGTCCCTGCCCTGAAGGAAGGTGTCCACATATAACAGCATGACTCTTGAACACCATTTAGGTTTATGGAGACAAAGATGCTGATGGCTTCTACCGTGGGGAAACCTGTGCCAGACTCGGCCTTATACCTTGTAACATGGTCTCAGAAATCCAAGCTGACGATGAAGAAATGATGGACCAGCTCCTTAAACAAGGCTTTCTCCCTCTGAATACCCCCGTGGAGAAAATAGGTAAGGGGCAACCCATAGCCCAGGGGTTGGAGGCTGTTGCCTTGGCTGGTCCAGCTTTTCCTCCTCTAATTTTATAGCCGAATCCCAGGCCAGCGGCCAGCACAACAGGGGCTCTGTTCTGTGTCCTTTAATTGTTGCAAATTCTTTGGGAAATGGGAACACCAATGTGCCTTGGGCAAGATCAACTTGTCAGGGCAAGACTTAGGGGGTCTTATTGGATATCTCAAGGACCAAAAGGGTCCTGAACACAGAAGACCCCTCTGCTTGATAGAACTCAACGCTGCAATATTGTTCGACTGTACCTAAGAGTCCCACAGCTAGAAAGCATAAAATAACTCCTTGTTTATTATGCTTTTTTTTTTTACTCTTTAAACATTATCCTATCTACAACAAATGGGAAAGGATGACGACAAAGGGTTATTTTATCTTTCAAGTTAACACTGCTTATTCAAAAGATTTAAAAGTTTTTTTGTTGTGGTGGTGGTAGTTTTGTTCCTTTTTTACCTATAAGTTACATTTTAATTGGGGTAGGTGTTTGACATTCACTCATTTATCTTAACCTATCACCTCAAACCAATGATCTTAAACCAGTGGTTAAGCGTTGGTTGAAACCATTTTCAGCGAGTCTTCAGCAGAATTCTTTTACATCCCTTATTCATTTTTTTAAGCAATAGGAAAATCCTCCACCTTCATATGCTTCTTCTAAAACAGCTACAGAAATGGAGATACAACCCAGTTTCATGTTATTAAGATCTAATATTTTAAATCTTCTAAAATGAGGTTAAACATTTTAATTCAGGATTCAAGGATCCCCCCTCAAATTCTCAAATTTAAAGAATATGTATAACCAAACGCATAACAGTCCATTCCAAGAGACATACTGTCCTTTTTGGGGTTGTTTATAATTAGACGTATTATTTCAAGTTGAAACTCAAACCCAGTGTCTAAGGTTTAAATATGAATATATTTTGCATAATTCTTTTTGCTACCCCCACCTTGACATTAAGTCCATGAGAATGAAGGTCTTTGAACAGCTTCATATCTTCTCCTCTTTTTTATTTGTATGCATCCCTTTCCTGAAGTCAACTGTGATCGTTTCAAAGAGAGCGCTCTCTCTGTACATCGCAGATCCCGAAAGTCTAAAAGAGGTCTGTGCTAAGAAACAGTAACTTGATTCGTGCGATCAATTAGGTGAAATGTTTTGAGTGTCTAGATTGAGTTTTCATGCCTTGTATTTTTCCTCTTTTTCTTTCTTGTTCTTGCTCTTTTTTGTTTGTAGTAGAGAGAACCTTGACATCCAGGCTTAGGTATCTACTTGCCCCACTAACTCCTTAAGAAATGTGCTGAGGGCGATTGTTCTCATTTTCCCAAGGTAGAATGTCCAAGATGGGGGGCGGGGTCCTAATTCTTTCCTTTCACCTTTTATTTTGAACTTTTCCACTTCCCATACATATGTTCATTTTATTCTCTCTTTCCCCACTTCCCTCCATCTTGATTCTTCTTGCACCTTTCAGTATCACCATAAACGTTATATCTGTCTGACTTCCCCTCAGGAGACTCAGCTTCCCCGAATGAGTTGCCAGGTCTGTGGAAAAAGGCCATATAGATACATGCATACACACTTCCTTCTTCTGACCCAGAGTAAAATCCCTCTCACTATGCCTCCCTCTCTCAGCCACCTTCCTTCCACTGCTGATCCCTAGCTATCAGCTGGAGCTTCAGTGCTCAGGTTGTCCCCAAGTTCAGGGTCCTGTGTGGCAGGAAACAATGTCATTCACTAGCTCCTCTGGCCAGCCCTCAGTGTTTGTTGTAAGTAAAACTAATCAGTGTGTTGCTCCTGTATCACCCCATGCACACTTCAAAAGCATCCATGCCTTTCTCATCATCTTAAGATTTCTTTGTAAATCATGTTACTTCTATTTTCATATCACATCCAAATTCTGGAGAAAAGAAACCTGTAAGCTTTGGGTGTGCTTTGCTTTCTTCATTTTAAGGAAACACAAATTGGAAGTCTCTGGAAAGCTAATTGTGGTCTCTCAAAAGCAACATGACCAGCTCTCATTGCTTCTAAACCATTTGCCTTGGACACATTTTCATTTGTTTGGTACTACCAGGCAAAAAAAAAAAAATTAATCACTATTGGTAGAATTTTTAAAATAGTGTTGGGGGAGAGGGAATGACCATGACTCTATTTAGGAGGACAGAAGAAATATCCATTTTTCTTCTGGGAGGAGATGCCTTTCACAGAGCTAATTTGGCCACTTAAGTGCTACAGAATGATTCTCTTGGTGTAAGCTTAACACTGGACTCAATCATCCAAGGTCCAGTCTAACTAACATCAAAGAGGGGCTTCACCAAATTGGCAGGAGGGAGATGAATTTTTCAGTCACAGTAATTCACAAAGACCATTTATTAAAGCCTGGAAAGGCTGGGATCTATCTGTGTGGGTGGAGCAAAGTCTCATCCCACCACCACCACCAACACCAGCAATAAACAGATCCTTGAGATGTATGTGTTTGTGTGTGTGCATACACACACATACACATATATAC